AAGGAAAGGTCCAGAGGTCATCAGCAGAGGGGATATGATGGGGAAATGCAATGAGATATATTGTGTGGATTCAGGCATATACTTCATGGGATGCTTCCTTTCAAGTGCTGATGAGCAGGAGAGGCAAACAGAAGCTCTTTGATAACACAGAAGCAGGCTAAATTCATTTTAGGGCCAGCTCTTCACCTTGTATAAAATGGTGCATCTGATTTATGCCCGTGGAGGAGCTGGCTGGAAGATTTAATTGCCTTCTTGGTAAGTTCTGTTTCCCTTACGTGTGCTCACATTATCAAGTGAGTGTTAACTGTTGCATTTCACCAAAACCTGTTGCTCTTGTCACCCTGTTTGTTCATCATATTCTCCTGAATTATAGCTGTAACTTTATTTCACAGCTCTAATAAAAAAATAAAGATGTTTTCAGAACTACCCATTGCTTTATGAACACCAACCGCATTCCGAAATTGTCATTTCTGGTTAAGTGACCAGTGGAATGCTGACAGGCTGTAAATGTAGAGTTACACTTACCAGATAATTTGTGCCATTGCTACACTGTCTGTATCCTGTGTTTCCACATCCACCTTGCTTCAGGTATAATTTGTGCTGTGACCTTGTGTAGCATCATGGCCTGGAATCCCAGTTCCACCGTGACTGCAGCTTGTGTACGTATGAGCTGGAAATGGAGCCAAGTGGAGAGTGAGAAGCGTTGCTGAGGACCGGCCAAAGAACCTGCCCCAAACCCAGGGTGAAAACTCAGGCAGTTGGTTTCTGCTGAGTGCTCTCCTGCATGAGTCACCCTGCCTTGTGAAACAGGTGCTACAAAGGGGTGCGAGGAGGTTCCTCACCTCCCTTGGTGCAGACACCATCTATCTGAGGTGGCAGAGAGCTGGCTGACCTTGCAGTGGAGCAGGCCAAAAACACTCTCACCTAGGCCGTTTTCATTGTGTGACAGACTATGGTCCTGTACTATAGGCTATGAAAAAGCGTGCTCACTAGAAAGCACACCATTACATGGCGGGTATCCTCCAGAGATTCTGCTTTTAGAGCTGTGAAGTCTCTCTAAAGGTGGCTAGAAAGGTGTGAAATTACACTACACTCATAATAAAAGATCATTTTTTGCACAGCTTATGTACCTCTCTGAACTGTGCAGCAGACTTTGTGTCACTTTTTCTTTCACTAGGTAGATATTCTTGGTATTGTGAAGCTGCAATGTAATCTGATACTTGACAGTTTTTGTACAACCCACCTGCTACTCCTAGTGCCTCATACTTGCAGTGTGCTTTTATACAGCACACGGGAATCTGTGGTCCTCACAGCAAGCCCGAGGCAGTGAATTAGGGTGAAGGGTCTGAAATTAGAGTCATTTTTTGGTTCACACAGTCTGTTGGAGGGAAGCAGAAAGACTGGAGCTTCCATGACCGTGGTTAGTCTTTTTCCCTGACTGATGCTCTTATGGGTAACATCAGCTGAAGCTCTGTGACCTGAGTGTGGGAGGATTTATGATGATCTGTATTACAGACTGTGGATTTGCTTGCCAGTAAGTAATGGTGATTTAGTACTTTGAAGGAGCTCTGCTGAAAAGTAGGTTTGAGTTCCTAAGGTCCTGCCTGGATTAGGAAAATGTCATCCCTGCCTTAAAAGGTTTGCAGTCCGAGAGTAGAGCATTAATTTATACTCYCTGGTATCAGACGGACACTGTCACCATGTTTGTTAAGCTCTGAGAAGAGTGATAAACAGTATATTCACCTTGCTGGCATTCAAAGTCATTAAGAGACAACAGAAAATTAACTGTTGATCTGGTGTGGAGGACAAACCCTCTTTCTATGGACTTTTCTGCTCTGGACTGTGGTGTCCAACTTGTGTGAATGTCAGGTTAAGAAACAGTGGAGGGGGTTGAGTCTCTGGAGAAAAATAGACAAACAAAAGCCCCAAGCAACAAAAATCTCAGTTTTGATGCTTTTATTACAAAAAAAAAAAAAAAAAAAAAAAAAAAAAAAAAAAAAGTCTTTCTAGTGATGGCAACTGCTTGGGAAGCAGAACTGGAGAGCTATGGACTCCTACGTGTCCCTGTTGATCAATTGGGTAGATACAATGCCTAAGGAATGTGAAAACTTTCACAGGATCAGTGAAGAGAGCCCAGAGCATCAGAAACTTCCCGGGAAAACCTGCATTCATCTGTTATGGAATATTTTGCATTTAGCTACCATGAAGGCCTAATGTTTTTCTGGGCATCAACCCTGAAATTTGAGTTGTTTTTTTGCCTCTGCCTTTAATACTGTGTATATCATCATGTGATGACATCATGTTAACATCATGAATATATGGTTCATTGTAATGGATCATTTTTTGTGCTTTCTGTAAAGATTCAGTTCTTTCTGCTTAGATATTTTAGAAAGGGGATATTTTAGTTATTTAGAGTTGTTTTAGAAAGAGAGTGTTGTGGTTATCTAGTCTGATTTCCAGCAGTGGGCTGCTGTGGTGGAGGGAGCTGGAGCTCTCAGCCTGTGTGGAGAGGCTGCCACAGTTGGGCTTGTTCAATCTGGAAAAGAGGTGGTTTCAGGGAGAAACGAGCAGCCTCCTGCTGCCCATGGGGAGGCTGCTGAGGAGATGGAGCCAGACATGCACAGCTACGCACGGTGGCAGTGCGAGAGACAAGACACACAATTTTAAAGAGAGGTTCAGACTGATTAAAGTCTTTTTTTTCCCCCCTTTTTTATTTTTATTCATTTTTATTTTTTTTCTCTTCTCCGTGAGAGCAATGGAGCAGTCTGTGTCCCTGTGCGGTCCCCTGGAGGTTTTTCAGCACCCAGCTGGATAAAGCCCTGAGCAGCCTGGTGTGGACCTCCTCAGGACCCTTTCGGCCTGTGTGCCGTTTTTTGAGGAAGCCCATGCATTTTGTTTTAGCTGAGTCATGCGTCTCTTAGAAATGAGTTCAATTTTGATTGAAGAGTTCTGTCCTGCTCATAAGTACATAGTTAGTTAGGCTTGTGGTTTAAAAACTGGATGAGAATTTAACTCAAAACTTTTCATTCCAAAACTCACAGTAAGAGCAAAAACCTCCTACCCATTCTTTGCTTTTTTTCCCTTCCCTCCACTCCAGAAAAAAAAAAAAAAAATCCCCAGATAGAATGCAAAAATCCCCTGGTTGTTAAGCAAAATATCAACATCTAGGACAATACATTTTGGTCTGGTGGCTCTTATTCAAAGGAAGTTCACTAAGTCACTGGGGCAAGTCCTGCAGAATAAGGGTGAATTACAGGCCACATGTATTACATTATTTTTCAAATATACATTGGCATAGCAGCTGGAAGTTCCTGTCATGCCATTCAGGGGTTAATATTGAGGAACAGCCTATTGCTTGCGTCTGCAAAAGTCAGAGAGACAAATATTTTTATAATCTTAAAAATACTGTATTATGTTGCAGAAACTGCAAAGGGGGAATAAATAGCAAGACAGTGTTCCAAGATCTGTATTAAGAATATTCTGGGTTAAATCCATGCTAGAAACTCAAACACACTTTTTGTTTGTATCTTGAAATGATCTAACACACATAGCTCAGTTTTTATTTCACCATGTACAAGGTTAAGTATATTTTCAAGGATGAATGAGAAGATAAGATTTTGAGATCCTTGGCTTATTTTTGGCGTTTAACTGCAAAAAAAAATCACATCCGTGTGATACTTGAAAAAAAAGAATAATTGTATCAATTTCATTAATTGTCAATTCTGCCAGATTTACATGTCTAACTCTTCAGCTAATGCCACCAGTGTTTTAATATAGCTATTAATTGAGTAAAATAGATTTTAATGAAAGTAATGGTGGAAGAAGTAGCTTAACTTATTTATTCCTACACCATGAAATAAATTCCCCTGTAACAAAGGCCCATTTTCTGCCCCTTTCTCTTATTCTCAGTAGTATCTTATTTCAAATATGTTAAGCGTAGCAACAAAACACAACCACCAGCAAGGAACAAGTTAATGTGATGTAGTCTAATTGTTTAAAAGTATAGTGATCTGGCTACTTCTAAAATAGTGGCAAAGTAATTGGTGTTCCCTCAAAGCTGGTCATCCAATTCTAGGAATGTCTAGTTGACTCACTTAAAACAGTTGGCCAATTTTTAATGCTTAAGTGAGATGGTACATGATATAAGTATGTTAGTATCTGTTCCCCTGTTTACAGAAGTGGTCGTGTTATATTTTTATATATTGTCCTTTCTAGGTGGAGCTGAAGCAGATAAAGAACGTATTCTAGAATTCAAAAACAACCTGTGAATCACTGGAGTGCATTATGCGGTCTACGAAACTTACATTCTCTCAGGTATTTAAAAAAAAAAGATTTTTATTGGCTAAAGTGGCAATCAACTGTTACAGTTCGTAGATTTTGTAGCGTATCCTGCCCAATAGCTTTCTGAGCAGTCCTTTACTGTGCAGGAAGGTGGGATGCAAGCCAGCAATATGAACAACATAAAGTAACGATAGTGGGTACAAGCCTATCAGGAGCACACCTTCAGCTCAAATATTTGCTGTATGTAACGCTTTGGTCCTGCAGTACACAAAGAACCTTTTGTTAGGAGAGCAGCCAGCAGAAGTCATGGAGAATTGTGTTATATTTTCTGCAGAAAGCACTGAGATTAGCCAGAGCAGGAGAAAAAAGGGGAAGCGTCAGGTCTGATCCGGCAAACACTCATTCAGAACAGAGATGTTGCTTTTATGGCTGTGTTTTTATTAAACAAATACACAGTTTCACAGAAATAAGGAAAGATCTCAAACTGAGTTAGTGTCCTAAACATACTTCTGTGCCACTTTTCCTGTTCTCTCTGCCATATATTTAAGGTGTCTATGGATTACTGAGCCGAACAAAGACGAAGTAGCATTAGGAATGGTAAAATATATAGTCAGAATGGGGCTAGGGTTAGTTACAGAATCTTGCAGTACTGACCTGATGAATCTGTTGTGTTGGTGATACTAACGCTTACGAAACACTTCTTTCTTTCTTTMCAGACGATTTGTATTCTCAGGGGAAGATGTCTGGATCTTACTCATTTGATGGCTGAGACACAAAAAACTTGACTGAGGTAGAAAAGTTTTTCTAACTCTCTTTTTTTACCATCTCTCTGACCAAMTTAGTATCTGGAAGAAGGCAAAGTCCCCCCTTGAGTATGTCCCCTGCGTGTGACAGCTGAAACAGCCTTGGGAGTCTTCAGCACTGACTTGCTTGTTTTTCACTTATTTACAGAACCTCTCTCCCCTTTGTGCCACACTGCCTGTGCAACCAGCTTTCAACAGACTGTGCTTGCTCTTCAGGCATTTTGAATGGAACAATGCATTATTCATATGCCCTAATATGAATTCATAGCCCTTCCGCAAAGGAAATTACTTTTACCTAGTTCTAAGACTTCTCCCATTCAAGAAAATTAAACAAAGCACTCGGAGATGGTTTTAATTGCTTACGAYTCAGTTGAGAAACTTCTAAGAAAGAGTTTCTTTCTGGGATGTAACTTGAGAGCTCATTCATTGAATGTAATTATGCTGTATGATGGATTTGCAGGTATGAGTGGGGAGCTAAATAAGACAGAGATGACAAAATAATGATAATAAAAGTAATAGTGCTTGAGTTATGCGATACTTCCTCACAGTGCATATCGCCCCACACTCTGAATACTAATGTAGCCTTGTGGCTTGCTCCTATAGCATACATTTACATTTTACACTTCATCTTGAGCACAAAACTGCATCCTTGGGTCAGTGTTTCCCCCTGGCTCCATGAGGCTCCATGGTGATTTGCACAGTGTCAGAGACCAGCCACATTTCTGCTTTTTCGCTGCCTGGGAAAAAAGCTCCTCAAGAACTGTAAAGGCTACAGGGTGTGGACACATGTGGGCAACACCACAGTGAGTGACCCAGATAAGGCATGAAAGTTGCTAACCGCTAATGAAACCTCCATGGCTTTTTTCAAAAGCTGTGTACTAGAAAAGGCATTTATAGATTCTTTAACACAGAACATACACATTTTATTTATTTTTATCAGTCACATGAATGAACGTGTTTGCCTGCCTAAATTGCTATATCCTACCAGATCTGTTCTTGTTAATCTGTAACCAGGAGGCTGGCTGGAGAAAAATCACTTTTCCACCTTAGTAAAGTGTTTACTGGGATCAGCAGAGGAGGAGAATAGGCCATACACTCGTAGACAGTAACTCATGAAGACAGCTCAAGTAYGGCTTGAGAGAAGTGCGTTTCTCGACATGAGATATATGGAGAGGAAGGACTTATTGCTGGACTTTTTCCTTCTGGAGTGCTAACTTTCGCTGTAACTTAAGAAACCAGACTACATGTGCTTTCCAGACTCCCTGGTTTTGTCTAGTGAGACGAATCCAGCCTTTCCCACTTTTCTCTTTTCCCACTCTCTTCCAGATGTGCAGGCCTGCATAAAACAGCAGGATTCCAATTACAAAGATACTTTCCCATTCACTATTCATCCAGTTTTTTCTTGATGTGAAAATGAAATGTGACCCAAAATAACCCATTTTGGGGGGAGGGGTCCTACTGTTGCGTACATGTGACTTATTTTTTCCAGAGTGTTTTTTTAATTTTACTTTTTTTTTTTTTTTTTTTTTCCCAAAGTACTAAAACTAAACAAAAACCCACAAACAGGAAGGGGAAAAATGGATGTATGCAGGAGGCTCCTTTTCAAACCAGTGGCATCTGAGGACAGGAATTATCCTCTAGATGGAACAAATGATCAAGATACTGATACATCATGCTTACTAATTAATAAAAACAATATCAAGACCCATAATGATGAGACTCAGAAAAATGACTACTGCAAACAATACCAGCATTCTTGCTAAGAGAGCAGAGATGAATAATAAAAATTATGAAGAGCAAAACCTCTATCATGGAGTTCTGGAGCAAAACTTTAATTTGCTTCAATATCAGTTTTTGCAGAGACACAGAAAAGKAGAACTGTACAGAATAAGAAGAGTAAATATTTACCTCATTTTTAACTCACCTAGGACTGACTAGGGGATTGTAATGCTATTCTGTTTTTCTTTTCCAGGCAATGGGTGAGAGCAAAAGGAATGCATTCTTTGATGTGACCTTTCTGTAAAAGGARCAATTTTGGAAAGGATGGAGTCATGATGGTTTGAATCTGGGAGAAGAAGAATGAGGATATGAGGGCTTTGAAAGAAAAGTTAGAAAAGACCTGAGAGAAGAAAGGGCCTGATTAGCCAGTGGTTACTTATCTCCAGAAAAAAATTATTGATAGTTTAAGATCAATTTGGCTCTCATCTGCCTTACTTTCTTCTTAAATAGTCTAAACAATGATTTCTTACTAAGAGTTTGCTGAAGAGAAAATATTAAGAACACTTACTATAAAGTGATCAGAAGTGAATTGATTTTTGTTGCTAAACATAAACGTCTCCTAAATAAAAGGGATTTTTTTAACTGACTTCTTGCTGCTCTTCTGCTCATAGGGATCATAGGGAAGTGTTGAACTATAGTGGAGAAAGGGTGTTCAAAATCAACTACTACAAACATGTTTGGCTCCTCAGATCTGGGTAGTGTTAGTCCTGGGCCAGARCTCATCTGTGGCCTTAAAACACATATGAAAAAGGCAAAGTAAAAAAAGGAAATGTTCCATCYAGGGTGTCCACAGGAAAAAATTGTATCCTCATGTGGAGCCCAGAGGATCCCACCAGCCTCTCAAAACAAGTTGCTGTAGGCAATGTTCTGTACCTGGTTACCCCACTTCTGTGCCTTTGAGCATCCTGTCCCTTGAACAACATGATGTAAATTCTGTTAGTTCTGTTGAACAGAACTGACACATTCCACCAAATTCAAAAATTTGCTAACCTTAATAGTTTGGTCTCATTCCCCTTTCCATCTCCTTAAGTTGTTGGATCACAGCTTCTTAATGATTGCAGCTGGTCTCACTAAGGGATTATTTATACTTTAGAAAAATCTAGTCCCTGATTACTATATCCTCTGAGGAATGTGCTGGCTCTAACAGTGGTGGTGGCTGAGGATGCTTTTCTCAATTCTTTTCTCCAGCATTTGGAAGACCAAACCTTGAGTCATTTAGAGGGTACTTTTTGCCCTTCTTTTTTAATGCTCTTCTGTGGCCGTGATGGTTTCTGTCCTGCCCAAAGGCTGTGCTTGAGCAGGAGCTTTCAGAACCAAGAGCATATGCTWGGTTTCTTGAGCAAAGCAGCTTGATGCCTTAAGCTTTCTTTGGCTTTGTAATAAAAGATTCAATGGTCAGTGGGTTAATTTTCCATTGGTTTCTGGCAGGAACAGGATTTCTCCAACTATCTTCTTTGAGCTTTTTGACACTTAGTTAGTTGCATATTTATTACTTTCAAATCACATTGTCTTTCATGCATTTGCAATAAAGACAATATAATCTTAGGGCAGGTAAATCTGGTATAGTTTGTTGTGTAGCTGTAGACCTATTTTCAAGTTACCAAATGCTTTAATAGATGAGCCATGCTCTATTGTAATTCTGCTGCAAAAGTATAGGTTCCAAATGACTACATCTTCATAAAAATTAATTTCAAATTAACATGTGTCCTTTTTTTTTTAATATTAGGGTGTAGTTGGRTTTGTCTTTATACTGTACTTCTTGGTTAATATCATGATCAGAATTAGYGGTAAGTTCTCCCTTAGTAATTTAAATCGGTAGTATTTATGCCGAATCTAATGCTCTGACTAAATCAGAGGCATTCCCGATTGTATACATCCCCATAGACATCAATTGATTTGATCAGCTTGAAATCCAGCTCTTTAACATGAACAAAGAAATTGGACTCAGAAAGCATGACTCATGAAAGAGCAAGCTAGTTTTTACACTAAACTGAGTTTCCTAGAGTAAGGCTAAACTGTAAGCACGAGAAACTACTTTGMGATTTGCTTTGAGCACTTGTTCAAGGAGTTGCATAGCAGAATATACCTTTCAATACAGTAATAGCTGGAAGAATGACCTGTTGATTTTACTTCTCACTTTCTTTTCTGTAGATCCTGTTTTTTAATTTTCTTTATTTTGTAGCTTGTGAAGATATTATACAGATAGTCCAGGTGAGAATAGAAAGCACAAAGCAAGTCTGCTGTTTTATGATGATTAATGTCTGACACGTAGCCCCTTTCCTACATTGACCGACAGTACCAGATGTGGAGTTTTTCCTTTCACAGCAGTGTTGAGCTATCTTGTGGAGTGCAAATAATATCTGTTCTCTCTCTTGTTCAATCCATGGTAGACTTTCTTCCAAAGTTAAATGATAGACTTTCTTCAATACCGGTTGATGCTGGTGAAACTACTGAATTTGTGACATTTTGATAGCTGACACCCAGTGGCATAGGAAAAGAATCAAGCTCACAAATTCTACTTTAGGTATCTTGTTAAAAGGAAAAAAAAAGCCTCCTTTGCAAAGGCTGAACATTTGTCTATGCACTTGACAAGATTTAAAACAATTAGACAACCAGCAATGCCTTCTGATCCCATGGAAACRGCTCTACAAAACAGCCCTTCCTCACTGAAACAGTGATTAGTTTAAAGCATTTGATCCCATTTTTGGCAGTTTGATGGTAGTTTCCATGGGGATGGAAGGTAGAAGCTTGCTGAAGTGTTATCATAACTCCTGAAAATTACACAGATGGAGGTTAAAGGATGCAAATTACATTTCATTAGCACCTGTAAATTTATTAATTTGGGGAAAGGGAGAAAAGAAAGACAATGAAATGTTTTTCCTGTTTCTCTGTCTGCAATACATCTTTGAATGATGCAACTAGTCAGGATAAGATAAAATGATCTTTTTGGTCTCTTATTCATAGTTCTGCAATGTAGTAATATTTACTGCTTCAAGAACATGATGACCAGGGCTATCAAATTTCTTCAAAAGTGGATAATGTTTTGCTCATGTTATAAGCTGGAGAACTGAGTCAGAAAAAAAAAAAAAAAAAGTCAAGTGGCCAAAACACCAGGAATTGGAGATACTGGAGGAAAAACACTGTCTGCTGCTTTCTGGACTAAAGCCTGGGCCATATGACTCTCCTGCTCAGATAATGCAGTGTTTTGCAGGTCCCTGAGGGCACTACTAGGCCTGAATATGCCTGTGAGGGGCTGCTGCAAGGCCTCTCCATGCCCAGTCCCAGTGCCATCAGTACCACTGGGACCATGGTACCGCTGTGGTGCCAGGCTGAAAGGGGGCCCTTGGCCAGGGCAGGGGTTGGGACATCCAGGAGGTGGGCAGGAGCCTTGGTAGGGCTTTGGTGGCCCCAGGTGCCTCAAGGGGCCCAGAGTGAGGAGTGTGAGAATTTCCTCCAGAGGTGAATTTTGAAATTTTTCGGCTCAGGATGTACCGAATTTGACAGGTAAATTTTGTAAATTGTGAAAATCACCTCAAACCATGTATGGCACCAGCTACTCTTTCTCGCCCATCTCTCCTGTGCTTAGTTTGGGGAAATGATCGCGTTTGAACCCAGTGTGCTCTCGCTCGCTCTCTCTGTTTCGATTAACACGTTGRGCCTGAAACTTGAAGGGCTTGAATTGCTTTTGCTTTGATGAATCTTGCACTCAGTCAAACAGATACCTAACGGGATTTTTTGGAGGGGTGGAGGGGAGATTTGAGAGGAGAGGAAGAGAATATTTGAATTCTTGAAAACCCAAACTCAGAAAAATTTACCACTTTTCTTTTTCCTTTGTTTTCCTAGTACACTAGTTAGTAGCGTTGAGGACGCAATTTGCGGCACTGAATTCAGCTTTTTCCCCCACTATGGAATATATGCAAGTGAATGAAGTTCTTGCAAATAGATTCATGACTTGAAAAAACAGTATGTGGACTGCTCTGATTTTAAGCAGTGTTGCTGAGTTGTGATAGAGGGTTGCATGGTGTCATTCCTCATGGTGTCTGATCTGATGGACAGTGAGGTGCAACTGCATGTTCTCTACTAGCTCACAATTTCCTTTGAAAGGACCTACAAGGGACTAAATAACAGACATATGATGTCCTTCATTTAATGCTGTTTTGATACTGAATTGCTACTGAACTTTTATACGCTCCACTTTGTTGTTTAAAATAGTATTTGTAAGTTCTAATACATTTCAACATGTCTTTGCTTCTTTTYTTTGTCATGAAACTTTGCAATTACAGCTGCAGTTGATTTAAATTTGAAGATGATTCCTAACATAATTAACATTTTATGGTATATTTCTATAGTCTGCCTAAAGCTGTTTATACAAAGAAAATGTTTTCCACTGTCCTATTTGAGTAGGAACAGACATAAATCACTTCATAAGTGTTAAAGAACTAAGAGAACAAAGATTTGAAGAGGAACGCTTTATAATTTCTTAGTACATGACTGTTGAGCCGATTCATTCATATCTACTGTTTTGACGAGCCTACATTTATATTTTTATGACTTTGTGTGGAGCTGGCTTTGTAGAGAGAATTACTGAATCAGACAAAGAATGTGCCATTTGGGAAAGTTGAAATATGAATWTTAATTTTTCTAATTGTTTTTGAATATGTAGTTAAATAAAAGCAGATCCATCTTTAACCATATATTGCTTATAAGTTGTTTAACTTTGTCCTGCAATAAATTGCATAAATAATGATTAAAGAAATGTGTAATCTCAGAAAGGAATCGAGAAATTTCAGAACACCCTGTGAAGAGAGTAATCTCAGGTTGAATTGCAGGGCCATGGAGTACATTTTGGTTTGGAAGAGCTACAAAACTAGAGACATTAGAGTTGATAGATACAGAGAGTGTCTAAAATGAATYACTGTTTCAAGGATTAGTTTTTATTTTGTTTTTCTATGCAACTGTGAAGACAAGAAAACATTCAATTTCACCCTGCTATATAAAAATAATATTTTAGTAACTGTGGAGATATGATTCAACATTTCTATATGCTGAAGAATAAGTCCTTATTATAATTTTAAAATTATTTTCACAAGTAGAAGTGATTGAAAACTTTTGTTATGCACTGTCCAGGACTGAAGGATGACTTAATGATAAAGCATCTTGGTATGTTTTTCTGTAGGTAAACTAAATATTAAATTGACAGTGAATATTTTCAATTAGTTAGTG